ACCCCTCACAGGCACCCCAGGCAGATGGCCGCACATGCTGGCTACCGCTAAGGATGGTAGGACATGGACTGGGTAAGCAAATCACGGTGATACCTAGCTCGGTGGGTCACCATTACGCCATCTTGGCCAGACCACTCACTGACGTGTGACTTGAGTAAGACACAACATAGTTAAGTCCACTAACAGGGCGAGTCAAATGAAAGAATGCAAGTGAAATGCTTTGTAAAGGATGAGAGAGTTACTCCTGCAATGTTTGTAGGATCTCATCAACGAGAAATAAGTGTGCCCCTCAACCCAGAGTCCAAAGAATTCAAACACCAATCCAATCATACAGAGGCAAGAAGCTGTGTTTTCTTAGCCTAATAAGCAAAAACACTATAAGGGAATGATGGGAAGGGAGAAAAAGTCATATCATATTGAAACAGGCAGGAAGGAAATATGAGTTTATGAGCCAAATAAAATATCTATGCCCTCTGTATTCTTGAAAGAAATATTTTCCTGTCACCATATAAAAGAAATAGGGTGGTTCTGTTCAGAAAAAAATTCCATCAAATCAATAATACCTAATAAATGTGCGATATAAAAATAGTATACCAGAGCCTGTGGAGGGTTTTCTTCATTATGGGTTCCTTATTTCAATTAGCGGCATCACCATCCACCCACCTCTTCATCCAAGTCAGAATCCTCCCTTTCTCTCAACCTCCCACACATCCCATCAACACCTGGTCTAACCATTTTACCCCTATTTTGAAAAGATGGGCCATGCTCATTTAATCGTGTACCTCCAGATGGAAAAGGCGGTGGCGGAGGGAGGGTGCATCTCAGGGGCATCTCAGTGGAGTGTGAAAAGTGGGCCTTCCCCTCCTGCACGCCTCAGGTGGAGCACACACCCATGAGGTGAGTTTAGAGGGGAAGAGGTGTGGAGCTCTGAGCTGGAAAGATGGCAACTGTACAACCACAGTGGACAAGAACTGGAGCCCTAGGATCACACAGAACTGTCTCTGATACCTAATGGCTGTGTGACCTTGAGCAAGTTATATAGCATCTCACCTGTAAAATGAGACTAATAACAGCACTAAGGGTGGGGGGGGGCAGTGTAGTGAGTACCCATGAAATAATGAGCCAGTAAAGTGCTTTGCACATAGCTGCCTGTAGTGGACACTACTCCCACTCTTATCTCACCATGCTGGCTCAGCTAACACCCCACTGAGGGCCTAAAACAGGTAAGTTTGGGTATTTATCACCAACATCTCCTCTGACTCTCAGGTGAGAAGACAGGCACACAGGGCAGGCAAAGACTTGAGGAACAAAAATGGAGGAGTAGGCTAACAAGAAACTCTGCACTACTCACTTTGAAAGATTTAACTCTGTACTGTTACCTCTTTCCTCTTTCCCTAATTCTCGCTTAGTCTCTTTTAAATTTTCTTCTTTTTCCTTAACTGCCCCCTGCCAACCCCTTTTTTCCTGTGTGAGCAGCAGGAAGAACATGAAATTTGGAGTATATCAGACCTGAATCCAAATCTTAGTTTGGCCACATACATTTGTGTGGCCCCAGGGAAAGTTGTACCTAATGTCACTGTGCTTTGTTTTCAAACCCAATTGTAAAATAGGACAGGAAGGCCTAAAAATGAAGTCAGTTAATGTACACGGAACCCTTAACACAGTGTGACACAGTGAAGGCACTTAGCAATGTTGTTGCTGCTCTCTTGGGGTAGGAACTCCAGGTCTTTCCTTCCTTCTCCTGGCATGGCCCATCACCCAACCCCATTCTGCTCCCCATTGGAGTGTATGATGGTTAATTTTATATGTCAACTTGGCTAGACTATGGTTTACCAGTTCCTTACTCAAACATTAGTCTATGTTTTGCTGTAAAAGTATTTTTTGGATGTGATGAACATTTATAATCAGTAGGCTTTAAGTAAAGCAGATTACTCTCCATAATGTGGGTGGGCCCCATCCAATCAGTCGAAGGCCTTAAGAGCAAACAGATTTCCCTGGAGGTTTCCTAAAGAAGAAGTAATTCTGCTTCCAGACTGCAACATAGAAATTCTGCCAGACTTTCCAGATTTGGGACTCAAGATTGCAGCATCAACTTTTACACATGCCTGCCAACTTGCCCTACAAATTTTGAATTTGCCAGCCTCCACAGTCACATAAGCCAGGTCCTTAAAGTAAATCTCTATCTATCTGCCTCTCTTTTCCTATTGGTCCTGTTTCTCTGGTGAACCTGGACTTATATAGGGCACTACTCTGACTAGCTAATCACCCATCACCCTGATTTGCCCACATCACTAGTGAGCAGAGATCTAAAGCCCTTAGAAGGCCAGTGCAGTAGAAATGGCTTTCTTTTGCTATTCCCTTTCAAGCAATTTGCCATGGAAGGTGGCTCAGCCATCTTGCTGGTTGTCCTCAGCGTCTTCCTCCCCTTCGCTGGAACCATGGCCTGCCCGTCAGAGCACACTGGAAGGCTGAGCCCTTTGGCCAGCTCAGGCTACTGGCTGGAGCGTTGCAGGATATAGAAGGCAACGTGCTTTCTCGTCCTTCTATCTTAGTGACTACACTAATCGATCCAGAAAGCCCTGGTTGCTCATTGTGGGATGAAGTGCACAGAGGAGGCAGGAAACCAGCTTTGCTCTAAAGTGAATAATTCCTAACAACTTAAGAGAAGGCCAAGCCCAGCTTAGGAAAGTTCTCTGCATTATGTGGCAGGTCAAAACCACAGCTAAAATCTAGAGTTAAAAGTTTATTAAAAATTTTAAAAACCCACAGCTAAAATAAAGTGTTACTCAGCTATTCTATGCTAAGACCCCATGGTGAGAGACAATTGGTCCAGGGCAATACTCTAAGACCCTGAAGTCAAATACTGTTTTAATACCATCAAAATCTCACACTAGCTTTAAACATCTGACGTGTCCGCACATCATTGCTGATGTGATTTATCATCCCTTTGGTACACCTGTTCTGCCTTTTTTTTTTAATTATTATTCTTTCCTCATCTCTCTTCCCTGTGTTTTCCTTTCCTTCTCACCTTTCTCCTTCTTCATTCTCATCTTCCTTCCTTTATGGTCTTTCCACACCTTTCTCTTTTCAGCTTCTCCCCTCCCTCCATCATTATTCATTCAGGACCACCTGGAGAACAAGGAGCATCATTCTCTTCTAGGCCCTGTTCACTCTGCACATCCGTGCCAGTGAGACCTGATTCAGGTAAGCAGGAGGAGCAGCTCTGAGCAAAAGGACCCAGAGAGCACCCACCAGGACAGCAGTCTGCAGGAGGAGGTGTGCAGAGGTGAGGGACAGGGGGTAATCTGAAAGGGTGACAGACATGCATGCTTCATCGTGGTTCTTTTGAGCCAAATAGTACAGAGCAGTGGCAAGAGCATATGCTCAGGGGCCTGACTGCGTGGGTGTAAATCTTAGCTCCCCTGATTTCTAGATACGTTACTTGGGGCAGGTTATTTAACTACTCGGGGCCTCAGTTCCCCATCTATAAAATGAGAACAGTAATATGACCTACTTCATAGGGTTACTGTGAGGATTAAAGGAGTAAGGAAACACCTGTCAAGTGCTTAGAACACTGCCTAGCACATGGCAGATATCCGAGAAATGTTCGCTGTTCTCAGTCCCATTGCGAAACTGAGGCAGCTTTCAAGAATCAAAAACCACCGCCCATCTTGGTCCTTTCTGAAATCCAAGAGAAATCTGGCCCTGTGGGAGAGGGGACAGTACCATCAAGGCCAGGAGACAGGTTCCAGGCAGTTTCTAACAGAACTTTCGATACATATAAAACGTGTACAATGGGTTAAGTAGGACTTTAGCACTGGCTTGAGACTCTCACCATCTATAACAATGGGCATCACACAAGCAATTATACTCCAAACTCCAAATGTCCACCATACCTACAATTTGGGGGGACACTTCTACGTATTTTAGATGGTAACTGCCCACAACTCCAGTATGCACATAAGCTCCTACGAAATTTAAATCTCAAATTTGGTACATCGTGAATGTCTCTCACATTTGAAGGGTGCTACATATGAAAAAAGGCTCAGAAGCACCGCCTTACACATGGTACTTGGCTGTAAGTTATTTGTCCCTATGACTGTTTCTTCGACTTTTCTTCATAATTCTTTCCCATTTTACAATCAGCCAATTCTCCTCCCTCAGTGTGTAACTGGATCCTGAATATGTGGATAGAAAAGTTGGACCATTTTCATACTGAAGCTTGACGGTATCTTCTAGGGGCTGTTCTTTGGAGACTCAAGATTCTTGGCTCTAAACAGGAGGTTCTATAAATGTTGACCACGTGGACACGGCAGATATGAAAGGAAACTCTGGGTCCAATTTTAAATATTCACAAATATTGTGGTGGGGCGAGGGTGGGGGGAGAAAATATGAGTTGTGGCTTCTAGGACGCCAAGCTCCTCAGAGATGACTAATGAAGAGAAAGGAAGCCAGGGTTGCACTTTAGAAAATAATGTTATTGTTACT